GCAGGAGGGACGGACACAAAGTCGCCTCACGGGATTTAACCATCGGGAGAAAAAAGTGATAGCAAGCCAGGACGCCGAACCAGAGGGGGGGGGCTTATTCAGTCATATGCAATTGAGAAAAAAGGGTAAACACAGGAGGGCGACCAGCATTCGAAAGGGGGAAACAATCATTTGTAGGTCGGACGGTAGTTTCGCTAGAAAAGGAACGTGGAGAATTTCAAACTTGTTCAGCTGGAAATAACATTAGTAGTAGTAGTAGTAGTAGTAGTGGTGAGAGCAGCAGTATCTCATTGAGGACCGTCCTCACCGCCATGCATTTTTAAGTGGTAGCGCCGCAATGTGATTTTATTCTCAGTTTCAGGACGACCTGGATGACAGTCCGCGTCCAGGGAACGGGCGCAGCGGCTACCACACACGCTCTGTCCTCATCCAAATGTCTCCAACAGCGGGACAATCTCAAGACAGCCATAAATGGGCCTGGGCGCAGTGGTTGTTGACGCCAAACGGTCCGCATACGCGTTGCACATACATACACGAAAACTGGCCCTCACTAGGAAAGATAACTAGGACAGTACGTGTATTTATCTGAGCCTCTGTCTGTCTCGTACACGAGGCCGTAACTGGAGACTTTGAACGTGCAATAACAAATGTGTGGGTTTTCGTAGTTCAGGGAAGAGGACAGTCGGTGGGTGTGTGAGTGAGTAAGGTAGCGTTGTTCGTGATAAGGCTAAGTCTACGTCGCGTCACGGCGGCGCGAACGAGGGCGTGATAGCGGGGGAGGATGTCACCGTGTCTGTTGATGGTGTTGGAAACAGATAGCCAGGCCTCCAGCAGTTTCTGTTCTGTCTTATTGCTGGCTCGCGCCATTATCTGCGTACTCGTGGCCTTCCTCCAGGGTGTGGATAGTGAGCTGAAACCGTTGGTCAACTCCTCGCACTGCCCTGTTGTCTGGCAGCCTTCAAAGCCACAGCTCCTCAAGTCCTCTGCAATGTCGGTAGATGTCTTCTCTACCTGTCGCGTGACTGCCGACCAGGAGTCGACATCAGCCATAAAAGCGAAGGCAATCTGCTCAACACCTACGGAGCCCACACACTCAGATTGCATGCAACTGGCCGGCGTGGTGATTTGCGGTCTTGTCTCGGACAGAACAACGCTGGAAGCTATTTGTGTAGATGAGTTCTGGGCGACACTGCCGGGACCTGTTCGTTTTTACACATGCGCATCTATTATCGGCAAAATTAAGTAACACCCCGTTCCCAAGAACACTTGCATCACCAAAAAATCCGTTCCCACATGGTCTCCTTTTGTGACCACGCTTTCCTATCAGGCTTAGTTCTAGTAGGAGACGCTCGCCAACGTCACCGCCACCAATACCAGCAGTATGAAGTTGCGATCCGATCACTGAAACATATTTTTATAATGACCCCCTTTTCTGGGTGATTTACATAAATAGTCCGGTAGTGCCGCGTTTTTAAAAGGACAGTTTGCAAGCTAGTACAAACTACTCGGAGCTTTTTCTCCCATCCCTTTTCTTCGCATGAAAGTTGATTTAGGCATCTTGTCGACACTCCTTAACTTTCTTGACGTTAGATGGACCCTGTGTGTTTTTTTGCCTTTCTGCTATTCAGTGCGCAGTCGCCTACACCGCGGAGATGGCCCAACACTTTGCCGCTGCCCTGGCCCTTGTACGCGGTGGGACTTACCATCTGAATGTGGACTGTGCGCATGGCGTGGGCGGTATTGCGGTGACCTCCCTGGCCGCTAACATCCATCTAGAGTTAATCAAGCCGACCTATCCGGCCGACAGTCCACGTGTCTGTCTACACACCTTCAACACACTCACCCACGACAAACATTTGCTCAATAACAAGTGTGGCGCTGACTTCGTCAAGGTTAGCCTACCTTACGCGGGTTTGTCTTGTCTCTCCTAATCTCCCTGGTCATGTTTTTGCAATGTTTATCGGTTGACCTCTCAGTACTGGCGCTATTGCTAGTAGTAATGTTCTTATTAATCAGGATTGCTTATTCGCCGACTGGATTTTCGATACCTAAGTCTTCTTATCTATTTATTTCATCAAAATGATTGCCGTGCTCATTCTTGGAGACAGTTGTTGCTGGACACACAACTGGAGGAAGTTTTGTGGAGCTTGTAGGTCTCTAATCCGTGAGTGTGCTTAGAGCACTATGATTATCACGCCCACTCCCTTATAGGAAGAGAAGGGGTAAGCCCAGCAGGAGTTGCTTATTGTACACACAGACTCAGCGCTGGTCTGAAGCCCCGACACGCCGCAGGCCCGGGGCCTGCTCGCGCGTCTGTTTGCTGACGTTGTGTGGGTGTGAATACATAAACGTCATGCGAGAGTGCGTCATTGACCGCTTGATCAACTGCTTGGCCGATATTAGCCTACAGTACCTGTAATTGGATGTCCCAGAAGCAGATAGAGGAGCTAAGTCACGTGACCGTTTTCGGGCTTGGCGCCGGCGCTGCAAGGTTACAGAAGGGCAGTTATTGTAAGCATGGTAATACGTGCCAGCTTACGTCGAACTAGAAAACAGCGGAACTATACCAGCAGTTGCAGAACCACCATCATCAAATAGTGCTTTAATCTCAGAAAAGAATAAGGCATTATCTCCAGTAACGTACGTACCATTGTTTGAACCTTTGGAATAGGCCCTTATAAGTTCGAAAAATGTACTTTTTATTCGAGTCATTCCAGTCTATAATTCATCTAGTCGCATTGTCTCCGGCTGTCTTATGTACAAGTGTTTTGCCTAAGAAAGTAGTTGCCCCTTTGATATCTATCTAGTGGGTCGTTTTTACGGTGGCTCTGGTGTCACCGCAACTCGGGCTAACGTCTGAAGGGACTGACGAAATGACAATGCTCCGTCCTCTGATAATCTACTTGAGGGATATTTTACTTGCTGAAACATACAACTTCACCTGCATAAGGGCTATGCTGGTCTTTGATTTCTCCGAGGAGAAGCGACTTGTGGAAACAATAACGTATGGTGTGCAGAGGATGAATTTTACTGCTTTTCTTAATTTTCTGTTGGCTCCAGTCGAGCTTAATCTCGGAGGTAACTTTGTAGAGGGATGGAGGGCAGATGGAACTTATCGGCTAGCAGAGCATCCTGCTCCGACCTGTATGTATTAGAAGGCGTCGCTTCTTTGTCTCTGCCTAACTACCTAAGACCATAAATTTGGTGGTCGCAATTCACTTCAGTACGTTCACTGGACTACTATACTAGGGTTCAATCTGTTGATCGATTCCCGTGCTGTCGGGGGTGACAAAATGTTATAGAAACGTCTAATCTAAGTTGACCCAATTGTGAAAAAAAAAATCCTCGCGTTCAGCGGGATTTGAACCCGCGTAGTAGGGTAGGCCTTAACGCGAAGCCAATGCGCTACCAGTTGAGATACAAACGTCTAATCGCTCTTGGGAAGCCATTTTAATCGAATTTATCCTGCACCTCTGACCTTAGCTAAGTTCCCATCGGTTGGTTTGAAATCATTCCAATTGGCTTGTCAGCGTTGATTCTTTGCGGGGTTTCGGCTGGATTCCACTACAGGCCTTATCAGACAAGAGGGACAAGTACCTCAGGGCCTATGATGCGACTACAACTGTTCTCGAGTGACCGCTTTTTGGATGTACTGCCGCAGCGCTTGTGAGCAACTGCGCTATTCTTGAGGAAACGGGGACCCCGTAAAGACGGGACCAAGTGGGGCGTCCACAACTGGCGTCTAGCTGACTGTGAAGTAAACAAGGTACGGTCGTAGGCCCTGTAGGGCTAATAAGTTAGGGCGTGGGGTTGGTGGTGGCGCGGTAGATGTCGCGCACGTTTTCCCCGCTCGAAACTAGTTCACGCG